TATATTATCAGAGTATGTTTGCATGTTTTTCCACAAGTATGTGTGATGAATGCAAACTTGATTCCTTGAAAAATGTTTCTATTTGGTGTTTGAGCATCCTAACACAACTCCTGTTTTTATTGCCAGAAAGGGTAAAAACCTCTTCCTATTTGACATGAGCCATGTGCAAATTGAGCAATGTAGTTGTGATTACCTTGTGGGCAAGATGACCGAGGAGCAGAGTGACAAAAGTGGCTGATCTACCGTGTCAATGCGAGGCCCAACAACAACAAAAATATTAGAAAATTATATTTGCCTCTCAGTGGTCTACTCACAGCCTCCACAACGAGGCATGTCTCTGGATATTAATTATGGTTAAGAGTGTCTGATGTTGGACGAATTAATTTTATTAGAGATGGACACCAGGTGGTGAGTAGAAGTAAACATGAATTCGATTTGCTGATAATGCGGCTTTTCATGAACGCAAACTGCAGATGACAAGGACGAAGGTATTATGTTATTGATTAATCAAGTAAACCATTATTATACTCTTATGCATGTTGAACTTATTTCGCACCATACGTAGCCAACCGTGCTAATCGGAGGTGCGGGGGAAGGACAACATTTATTTGTGCAATAATGGAAACATGAACACTCTCCTATTGTCTGATTGTCAAGAAAAGTAGACTTGGAAAGGACACGTCCTGCAGACGGGATGACGGCCACAGTCGAGTCGCAGCCAAGGGAGAGAACTCGCCCGGAAGAACTTCAACGGAGGAGATGGAGCGATGGAATTATCTCGTGCACTAATGCTGGGTAGATTCTTACATTGAAGGATCACGAGAGATGACGAAGTCTTGCATGGGGAAATCTTCCTTCAGAAGTGGATTGGTCATGGCGTGTATCGATGATGATATCCAGAGTTTTGCAAATTACATGTAAATGATTCCTCTAATCTAAATGGTTTGCATAAAGTAGAGCAAGGCAACGCACGACAGAGAATTTGTGAAACAAAGTATACACATATGACGGACAGGACAAACACGATTTTTTTTTTATAAAATAGTGACTGGATTGTGCCATTGCATTTATCAATGAGCAGAATGGCAGGCTACATGCTGACGATAAGCGCAACAATCGTTACATTGTGATCTTCTGAAATGTTAAGCATTATTGATATGGCATGGTCATTTCAAGGTGAAATAAAGTGTCGCGGGGAAGCTGTGCCAACAATGATACAAACATTAATTTAACTTTCTATTTTACCAGGTAATGCTCAATGAGCTATGTGTAGTTTTTTTTGGTATAGCCCTGTGAGCCATTCGGCTCTTGAATCGGGTGCAACCAAAACAAACAAAAAAAACACTAACAAGAAAAACATCTTAAAGTGACTATGTGACTGTGCAAACAGAAAATCCATGAAAAAAAACAGCAAAATTTTCCTGAAAAAAGCACCGTACACCAACGCTGTGTGCAAAAAATCCCAGTGGGATACAAGTCAACAACAACCACAAGAAAACTTAGATTAAGACCATCAGTCTAACTCCGTACTACAACAAAACAAACATGTCCAAACCAAAAAACTTTTCGAAATTACCAAAAAATATAGCCATAATTGCAACGTAACAGTGACCACAGGGACTGTGACCGAATTTTTACAATAACTCTTTTTCAAGAAGTGACCTGGCCGCAAATGATAGCTCAACAAAGTGACTCGTCACATGAAAATGTGCAGCAGCCGAATCCTCTAAACGCATGTTGATTGTGAATGTGGGGGAAAACAGCCGGAGGACCCAAAGAAAAATCCACGCGACCACGGGAGAGAGACATGCAAACTTCAAATATACAGGCGTCGAGATCGAACCCGCGACCTCCGTAACGATCACCAGCACGTTGGCTATTCCTATGAATAGGCACAAGCTGAATATGAGCATCTGTACCGTGTGAGAGGCTTCTAACGCCGAGAGGGAGAGCATGGATCTTCAATTCTCCATCGTCTACCTCGTCCGCACGGCTCTCTTCAAGTCACGGAATAGCACTCTCTTAAGAAAACAACTGATCCTCATCTCTGACAGAGGCGGAAACCGGAGCAGATAGTATTCCCGTCTTTGCTCTACTAACTGTTGGTGACCTAATATACAAACCTATAGCCCATATTTTCAACCTGTCCATCAAATAAGCATCAGTTCCTCTAGAATGGAAACATTCCTATGTCCGTCCACTTCACAAAAGGGGCCCTAAAGTGGATCCAAATAACTACCGACCTATCTCAATTTTGTCCCCGTTGATGAAAATTTTTGAAAAATGATTGACCTACCAAATTAGCAGTTTCCTGTCCACCAACAATCTACTACATCTAAAACAATCTGGGTTCCGAAAAAAATACAGCACCACATCTGCTGCATTAGACTATCTGAATCACATTTACAATAGCTTTGATAATAAGCAGTACTGTGCCTGTCTTTTTCTAGACCTGTCCAAAGCTTTTGATACAGTAGACAACAACACCCTGCTTATTAAACTAAGTTGCCTCGGTTTTTCCGAAAACTCAGTACAATCGTTATAAAATTACCTCTTTTCTCGCACCCAAACTGTATTCACAGATGGTTGGAGGTCAAACAGTGTTCAGGGGTTTTACAGGGTTCCATCCTTGGCGCCCTTTTGTTCTCTCTTTATGTCAATGACTTGGGCACTGACCTGGATCATTCCAGGGTAAATCTTTTTGCAGATGACACAATACTGACTACTGCTGGCCGCTCTCCGGATGACGTGATTGCTAAGCTACAGGGCGATTAAACAAACTACAACATCAGCTAGTTGCTCTTAAACTAGTCCTGAATACCTCCAAAACCAAGGTGCTATGCATCTCACCAGGACTAAAGCAGGAAGTTATTTTTCCCCAATTACATTCCTTAAATAATTATCAAATAGAGCAAGTCAAGATCTATAAGTATCTTGGGGTCATCCTGGATTCAAAACTGAATTTTTAAGATCACATTGATTATATTGGTAAAAAGACAAAAATAAAAATTGGTTTTCTGTATCGACACAAGCACTGCTTCCCCCCAATGTTCCGTTTGGAATTGATAAAAGCTACCATACTGCCTCTACTTGACTGCTGTGACATCGTGTATAAATCAGCCCCAAGTACTGTACTAAGAAGCTTGATTCCATCTATCACTCGGCCTTATGATTTACATTGAACTGCCCATATAGGACTCACCACTGTGATCTCTACATTGGGTCAAACTTAATGTTCGACGGCTTGTGCAACAGATCTTATTTATTCACGATGTACTTACAAAAAAATCCGCAGACTACCTGCTGGATCTCCTCTCTGTTTCAAAGAACAAATTTGGCCTCAGGTCTTTGCTCATTTACCAGCTTCACATTCCCTATTGCCGTACAAAAACTGGAGGAAGGGCCTTTGCTATTGATGCCCCCAGGGTCTGGAATGCTATTGCCAATAAACTGCAACTTGAATCGCTACCAATGAGATCTTCTCTCAAAACTGCTCTAGAGGAGTTGTACACCCCTAGCTGCCACTGCTATTCATTGGCGTAAAATAAAATAAAATGTATTCGCTCCAGATGACGCAGCAAAGTATTATCTGTATTTTGATTTAGCGTGCTGATCTTAAAGGTGCATTGAAAAATTTGATACTCTGACTGATGCTTCCGTTGTTGTGGAGTAACTCATGGAGCCAGCTATGGCTCTAGGATTTGGTGTTACATGTTATTTATGTAGTTTATTGTAATAAATCCGGTCACAGTCCCTATGATCACTGTTACGTTGCAATTATGGCTTAATTTTTTGATGATTTCTAAAAGTTTTTTGGTTTGGACATGTTTGTTTTGTTGTAGTACGGAGTTCGACTGATGGCCTTAATCTAAGTTTTCTTGTGGTTTTTATTGTTTTTTGACTTGCATCCCACTGGGATGTTTTGCACACAGCGTTGGTGTACGGTGCTTTTTTCAGGAATATTTTGCTGTTTTTTCATGGATTTTCTGTTTGCACCGTCACAAAGTTACTTTAAGATGTTTTCTTGTTCGTGTTTTTGTTTTTTTTTGTTTGTTGTGGTTGCACCCGATTCAAGAGCCGAATGGCTCACAGGGTTATACCAAAATAAATAAAAAACTGAAAAAAACTGAAGTGGAAAATTTAAAACGCTCCAGTATGCGACTGTGGTCATCCAGAACAGACCATACAACATATATATTTACCATTCTTGGACACGTATGTATGTACGTTTAATTTAATTCGCACCGTACGTAGCCAACCGTGCTAATCAGAGGTGCGACATAGTTTTAATTGTATACGTAAATTCATACAAAAAAACGACTATTGTAACGCATTTAAAGAATAAACTTTTCTTATTCTTGAATTATCAGACACTTAATAAAGCAAAGACAGACACGTGAATTACGTGTGAAAGATTCACGCGATCTCACGGCAGGCATAACACAACGCGCACTCACCTTGCCTTCAATTGCTGGGAGCAGTGATGAGCGTGGCACCTGCTGGACATTTATAGGCGTCTTGGGAGCCACGTGACCGTCAGTCACCAGGTGCAATGGGAGGTCACGTGTCGATGCCTGTGCTTCGCTGCTCCGCAACGTTGGGGTGTCGTCAGTCGAGCGGAGATTGCAACGTGAGCTGTGAGCTGCGTGCTCAGGACTAGGAGGCGATTAATTTCTATCCGTTAAGCCACTTGCGCCAATTGAGGCCCTTTGTTATTTTGATTATTTTACATTCTTTGCATGAATTCACACGTGCTTTAAACTAAACTTTATATTTTACCAGGTAAGGAGCACCGAGCTATGTAGCTCTTTTTGAGAAGCAACCTGGCCACAAATGATAGCTCGACTAAGTGGCGTATCATGTGGAAATGTATAGCAGCCAAATACTCTGAACGCGTGTTTATTCTAAATGTGCAGGGAAAACCGGACGACCCAGAGAGAGATCCACGCGACCACGTGAAGAACATGCAAACTCCAAATATATTGACGTCAGGGTCGGGATCGAACTCACTGCCTCCTGCATACTAGGCGTGGAAGAAACATTGCAAACTGTTAAAGCATGTAATTTAAATGTATCGCTTTTATTTGTCTTGAAACACCTGGACATGCAGGCTGCACTGATTCGAACTACTCATGTCAAGAGAGAGAGAGAGCAACTTCTTCAGGACAAAGTTGACCAGGCATAGACGGTACTTGAGAAAGGTGTCACCACACATGAGAACATAATTATTGTCAAGATGTGACAAGGTGATGAGTGTCAGGGCTGCGCGCGTTGGTTGTGCTGCCTTTGTGGTTGCGCTGTACGGCTCTCCGAAATGTGCTTTTTTGGGTTGTGCTGCGTGTTGTTGGGAACAATGTCCGACGTTTCGCGCCACGTGCTGTGAGTCATGCCGAACGACACGCGGCACAACCCAACCGCACACGGATCGCAGAGGCGTTCATTGTTCGGAAACATACACTTTGAATGTTAAAACGTTGAAACATTACTAGGTGTCTTTACGTGAGAATGCTCAGTGGCAAGCATGGTTAAGCCACTCCTAACCACAGTCCCAGCAATCGTGTGTTTAATATATATAGCGGCTCGCTTATATAAGTATTCAGATTTATTCTTCTACAGCTTGAACTTTGTGCAACCGCAGGTGAAATACGAGCATTAACCTGTGGCAGTGAAACACGATCGCTTTCTTTAGCGCTTTTGTTCTGAAGAGGTAGATTGTCACGTTGGCGATCGGCACCACAAACACGGCGAGCTGTGACGCAGACTTTATGTTTCTGGACGCGGAATCTTCCGTCTTTTTTATGAACCGCGGCACCAGGATCGCCACGAATATTGCCACGAAAAATATCGACAGAGCCAGGAAGTGGGTGATTAGAGTCTCTATAGATTTATTTCTGGCCTGATTCAACCGAGATTTTTTGCATTCGACAATTATCTTAAAGTAAGTGTACCCGATGATGCCCAAAGCCACTACATCAACAACGATCAATGCCGAGCCGTATGACTCATTTATGCGCGTGTCGGACGCGGACAGCTTGAGTATGCCCATGTTATCGCAGTGAATGCCATCGACCTGTCGATCTTTGTCCTTCAATTTCAGTGGGATGATGAGAATGGTCTGGCTGCCTGCAATAACCGCCGCCAGCGTGCAGATGACAATTGTGGCTATGACCGCGCGTCTGTTGGTGATGATCGCGTGATAGCGCAGCGGGCAGCAAACGGCCAGGTAGCGGTCATAAGCCATGGCTGTAAGCGTGAATATTTCGCTAATTGAAAAAAAGTGGATCCAGAACATCTGCACGATGCAAGATGAGTAAAAGATCTGGGTGTCTCCCGTCAAGATGACGTGCAGCTGTTTGGGCACGCTGCTCGTGCAGCCGATGGCATCGCTCACGACCAGGTTGCACAGGAAAATGTGCATTGGCTTGTGCAGGTTCCGGGACGCGGCCACCGTCACGAGCACCAGCAGGTTGCCCACAACCGTGATAACAAAGAGCGGCACGCACAGGCTGAAGATGACAACTTTGACAAGGTACGGAGCTTGGAACGTGGCGAGGTAGACGACGCTGCTGCTGTTCTCCATCACGTTCGTGGCCTGCACGCAAGTTTCAGGCAAAGAGAAACGACGTGATGCATCTCTCTGTCACACAGAACCCTATTTTGACATATACAGGGTGCTTTAAAAAAACGAGAACACTTCTGAGAATTCGCAACAACACCACGAGAAATGTGCTGCCTCCGGGCTCTGGTGACCACATGGAGAAGATTCCAGACATGTTGACAATGATAGCGAACAAATGGAGACTCCCTGACTTTTTGAAGCGATTAACATACATTTGTTATCATGTTACAGTGTATTATCCGTTCTTTTTCAATTAAAAACGATAGTTCCATATAAGTGTAAAAAAAATAATTTAAGCACTCTGTATATATGCACACACAATTAATCCATTGCAGTGCACTTACACTTACGATTAGCCTATTTTTTTAAAAATCTCTAAAGTCACATTTGCAAGGCACAAAGGCAAATAGGCATGAAACGTCAAGCGAGGTCGCTCCAACGTTATAAAAACAATCGCCCCATAAACGTCAGAGAAGCAGATAGTTTGCAGAGATTCTAACTCAAGTCAAGACCCACCGCTTCAGTGCAGCTGCATTAGAGTGTGACTATACGACGCCAAGTAGGCACAGACTTTTGATGTCTTATTCCTTAATTTTAATAATTGGTCTAAATTATAATGTTGTATATAAGAATATATTAGTTATGCATTGCATTGCATCGGGTTCATTACGTTGCTGATTCAAAATAAATGTTTCGTATTTTATACATTCAAAGTGTTGGGCATTCATGTACGATATGAATCGCGGTTGATTTATTTGAACAAGCGGCACCATTGCTGAAGGCACAATCGACGTATTATTTGGTTCTTTCGCTAAAGTGACGTAGATAGAAGACAACCGAAAAAATCAAAGAGTATGAATTCCTGCAGTCACGAAAGTTTTAAATCAAAACATAAGAGCCGTGCAAAAAATAATACAAAACAATACAATGACGATCTGTTATTCAGCTGAGAAATATATGCGTTACTCACTCACACTTAGAGCAGAGCCGAACCCTGCCACCTTTCCCTCAAACGCCACGCGCGCAGATTGCCCATCATTTATATGATGAGCCTGCAAGCCCACGTGACCAGTAATGACCTCAAAGCCCTTCTGGGGATGCCCTTGCCTCGTGTCACGAGCTTCGCGTGCGCCTGCGACTTCAATTAGAGATGGGGCTGAGGGCACGCGGCCGTCACTTAACGACACCCTAATGACATCCAGGTGATCGCGAGAAGCTCCCCGTTCGTTAGCAAAGCGATCTCGGTGCGCGGATCGACAACGTAGGCTACCCGTGTGTTGAAGAAGGGGGCTATTATTCGTATGTTTGTATGTATGTATGTATCAAGGCCGTAATTATGATATATATTGGGGGGGGACACATTCCCCCCAACATTCAAATATGCTCAAAATGTCCCCCCAATATATTGCAAAAATATAGATTTCTGTGTATCTGATTGTGGTTATGGTTGTACTTTATTCATCTCTAATCTCTGCCATCACATAAAATGAAAAAAGAAACGGTAAAAAAAGAAAAAAAAAGATCATTGTACTGTAATACAATACACTATTATATATTATTGTAATAAAATAAAGAAAAAGTCCATCCTATGTGTTAGTGAAATTTTTTTTTTCTAGGCAGGAAATGGCAGGAAATTCGTTTTCAAATTTAGATTTTTTTCTCGGGGGGGGGGGATCCCAGACCCCCTGGAAGATTTGGTCCCCCCCAATGTTGACTCCATGGCTACGGCCTTGGTATGTATATATGTTGAACTTCTTTCGCACCGTACGTAGCCAACCGTGCTAGTCGGAGGGTGCGGGGGAAGGACAGCAAACTATACACACACACAAAAACTCTTCTAAAGAAATAAGTTTTCAATCTCTTTATTGTATGACTCCTCTGAATTTCTGTGCTCAGCGTTGTTTTATTGTTGCCGTCTTGATATTGTGAATGTTTGTGAGCCGCGGCCGTGATGGCGAGTGGCATGAACAGCGAAAGCGTCTCCTCTGTTCTGATGTGCCAAAGTGGTCTTCTGCAGGCCTGGTCCAGGTTGCCACCTTTGCCACAGGTCAAACCGGAACGTATTTATAATTCAGCCTGGGACCATAAACACTGCGCAAGTCGCAGTGATAAAGTTCAACACAGTCCCAGTTCCAGATCTAGGTACAAATCAATGTCTGCTACCTGAACACAGGTGCCATGTCCAGGACAAATGGTAATCCCAATACCTGGGCAGTAACTATAAAACACCTTAAGTGAATATCGCTCTGAGCCAACACAAATTTCAATAGGAGTTCAGGGAATTTTGAATTAAAGAGTTTTGTTTTATGCAGCTGACATCTTGTGCGGTGGCACAGTCGAGCGTCGCCTCTGGCCGTACCCCTGACTCTCGGCGGTGGACGGGGGCGGGGGGGTAGAGCGAATGGGTTCTGGGGGTGATTTGCTAGGATTGTGATCAAGGTGTGTGATTGTCCATAATACAGAGGTTTTCTTGGTTAGTTCGCGTAAATATATAAATGTGTCGCTAAACCCACCACCACCCGACACAGCCAACTAGTAAGGGTTGTCACGTAAACAGAACGTGCCAATTCGTCACTAGTACAGCACAAACCGGTGTGTTGGAGAGCCAGGCCACAACATTTGCAGTCTGAGTACTACGTCTCGCTAGTAATTACAACTAGCTTCATCAGGTGACAGCCAGATTTGTGGAGAAGTCCACACATTTATATATTTACGCGATCTAACCAAAAACACTTGTATCATGGATGATATTAGTCGCGAAAGCCTACGTGTTAAACCGACCTCTGTGTGCGATTGTGTTCAGGATCATCCATAGTTGGAGTGCGGGGCCCGAGGCCATCTCGACCGTGTGGGCCCCCCAAAGCCTTCAAACTAAACCGGAAGTATTACATCTGACACCACCGTGACGTCGTCGAAGCTCTCCCCTCCCCCAAAGCACGGGGCCCGGGGCGGTTGCCTGGATTCGCTGTACCGTCAGGAATGGCTGTGATTGTGATATTTAATTTAAAAAACCCAATATATACCAATGAGTAATTTTATGCAGTCACGAAAGCTTTAATACTTTATTAACACACTTCTACGGGGAAATTACCGTTGCAATTTTGTCCTAAATGTGCACCCCAAGCCTGTTCCCACCCCCCCCCCCCCCCCCCCCCGCTTATGTGTATGTGCACGATGCACTTGTTTACCGCTCTCTCTCTCTGGCTCCCTCCCCCCCACCCTTTTTTCCTATTTAAAGCTTCTGTTCATCTCTCCCTCCTGGCTTCTCTTTCCGTCTTTCCTCCCTCCTTACTTCTTGGTGGACTTGTATATATATTTCTACTGGCCGTGTACCTCGTATTTTTCATTGTCTATGCTGGTATGTGCAATCCAGAGGTTGAAGACGAAATTTAACACTCTTCTGAAATTCGTGGTCCGCCAGGAAGTGTCTAACTGTGTTGTTGGCCTGACTGGCTGTGCTTCACATAATGTTTTTCAGGTTTGTTGAATTCTCGTCTCTCATCTTTTTGTTGTATTTACCTCCATGATTTGTTCTTGGCACCTGATGAAGATCGCTTGTGTTGTGATCGAAACGTCATGATTGTTTTGTTTTAATATAATTTTATTGTATTTCTACATACGTGACTTTGCCGAAAAAAACAATGAGTAATTTTATGCAGTCACGAAAGCTTTAATGCTTTATTTACAATTTATACAATTTCTAGAACATGCAAATCATGCAGGGCAAGCGCTAGGATCTGCCTGTCACCGGTCAGGAGGGTGTTCATCTGTTTGGGCATGCACGCCGTGCTGCCGATCACGTCCGTCATCACCAGACTGCACAAGAAGATGTGCAGGGGCTTGTGCAGGTCTGTGTAAATCAGCATGAGCTTGTTTTAAGAAGGGGGAGGGGTCAATACAACACCTATGGGAGGAGGGAGGGCCCAGAACAAACAGTGTTAACTTTGACCAAATAATAGAACGCTAAACGGAATGGGTAACGATGCGATCGCCGTTTGTCATTCGTGCATTCTGATCTGGCTCTCACCCTCTCCCCCCCCCCCCCGAGATAGGAGAAGGTCATCTGAGAAGAGGAAGCTGCGTGTGTGTGTATGTTTAACTTCTTTCGCACCGTAACGTAGCCAACCGTGATAATCGGACGTTCATGCGACGCCCATCGCTCAGTTGTGGTCAGTTTTTAACAATAATTTAGAAAGGGGGTCACCCCACCCCCCACCTCCAGCCCCCCTTAACACTACGAGGCTGGTGTAAGTGTGTGTGTATGTACACAATTTAGCAGAATCGTACAGAATAGGCATTTTGCACGGTATTATTTCGTGATGAAAAAATATATATTCACCCGATGAGCATAATTACACAATGCCCCATCAATGCAGCCAAAGGACAACGCGCCCTCTCTCGGTGTCTAACTCGAGGCAGCGAACGTTCCCTGGGTTGCACCTCGAGAGCTCACATCAATTTGGCTACGAGTTCAGCCAATCATCCCTCCGGGGTCGACACTGTGAGTAAAGACTTCGCGGACAAGTTAACAAAGGTTGTCCCCTGCCATATAAATGTGGAATTTCCACCACTTGCGCATGGCTGTAAATGGTAAATTAGCACCGCCCAAGTGCTGAAATTGAGCAGGAAATCACTTTGTATTTTGACAGCCGTGCTTAAAATGTTTGTTCTAATGCTTCGCGTGATGGCCATGAGAATCATAATATTTATTTATCTTGGAGAAATCCGATGAGCTATGACGCTCTTTTTTCCAAAGAAATCCAGTAGGGGCACGGAGTCAGAAAGTTACAACAACAAACAATACAAAAAAACGATAGCAGCAAAGTATAGGAAAGATAAGCACATCACTAAAAATCAAATAAACCGAACCTATTTTTTTAATTTTACCAGGTAAAGCCCACTGAGCTTTTAATTATTTTTCAGAAGCAACCTGGCCACAAATAATATCTCAACGAAGTGGGCTTATCACGTGTAAATGTATAGTAGTCAAATACTCTAAACGCACGTTTATTCTAAATGTGCAGGGAAAAACCGGAGGACCCGGAGTGAAACAATCCACACGATCACGGCGAGAGAGACACGCAAAC